ATCACCTCACACCATTCTACACTCATCCTTCACTCATATTTGGGTTAAAATATGCACATATAGGTGGAGTCCCCATCTCAATGATTGATAATTGGTAATTGAACAATTCATATACAAGACTCCAATGTTTTTTCTTATTTTCAAAATTACATACCAGTAAACGCAATTTCAGGTCGGCTCTTTGCTGTTTTCTTATCAGTAATGTTATTCTTATTTGGTGTCCTTAAATAAGTACAGTACCAAAAATTTAGGAATAGGTTTTATGGGTTAAATAAAACCAAAATCAAGAATATGTTTGTTCAGAAACATCTTGTTAGCGAGTTGTTTATGTCTCATTTGGAATATATATAAGGGATTTGGGGCTACTAGGTTACTAGGTCCTAAAGATGAAAAGTAACTTTTTGCCTGTAGTAATTTCTTCCAAAAATAAATTTTTTTTTTGTCCTAAGGACGCTAGGCACGAGCCTGGGATTGTTTTTCACATTACTTCAGGCTAGACCTAGGGGTTGCGGCATTATCACTTTGATAAAATCCATTGGTGACTTGGCGGGGATCGAACCTGGGACCTCAGGGACTGAAGTCCCGCGCTCTAACCACTACGCTACGCCAGCTCGCTCCCTCCAAAAATACATTAGCGTCTAAATAGAAAACAGAAAAAGAACTTGCTAATGTGCCATGCTCTAGTATGCCACTGTTCATGAAATTAACATGACCTACTGACCTACAGAAAAAAGCAAGGTAAATACTTATCATTCAATCTTTTTCAGGAATTAGTCAAGTAAAAAACAACATTCTAAGGCCAAACCTAAAAATAAGTTAAATAGTTTTTACTTGTGATCAATCTCTTCAAACCATACTGAAACTTATAAACAAGCAAGATGGATCCCCAGAGCAGCCAGAAGTTAACATCATATATCGATCAATTACTCGCTCTGCTCGACGCCCTGAATGAAACTGTTTTGAACTCGAGCCTCCAAGTTGATGAGCCTGGAGTTGAAAAAACCACTGCTCCTACCCAGACTAAGCATTTGGCATTTGGATTAAAAGTACCGTTCTTTGACATAGAATTTGGAATCAACAAACCTCCAGAACCAACTCATCCACAACCAGCTCCACAACAACCAGTAGTATATGCTGCTGGAAATTGGGTATTTAACCCTGTGACAAACCAGCAAGAATGGGTTCCTGCAGGTCAACAAGCTCCTCAACAACAATATGCTCAAGGAAATTGGGTATTTAACCCTGTGACAAACCAGCAAGAATGGGTTCCTGCAGGTCAACAAGCTCCTCAACAACAATATGCTCAAGGAAATTGGGTATTTAACCCTAGGACAAACCAGCAAGAATGGGTTCCTGCTGGTCAATCCCCGAGACTTACAAGAGCAGCACCGGTAAACCCTCAGCCTGAAAGCCCTGAGAGCCCTGAAAGCCCTGAAAGCCCTGAAAGCCCTGAAAGCCCTGTAAGCCCTGAAAACGACTCAGAAGATCCTCAACCTACCATTGAAATGGGTACCAATGAGATTTATAAAACCCTTGAAGACATTAACAATTGTATCAGAGACATGTCAAAATTTCTTTTGTAGACAACCGGCTTTGTAAAAGTTACTTCCATTTTTATAGAATGAATAAAATCTTACAGAAATACATTTTCTAATATTTTTTACCAGTACGGGGCTTGTCTGTAAAGTTAAGGTCTCCAACAAAAAAAAAAGCTCCAGTCGTAACCAAGCAAGGCTAGCTTTAATCTGACTGTAGCACAGTTTTCCTTACTTCCTCCACTATAGGTCGGCCGCTTAGAAAGTAACCTCCTCCAGCATTGGTTTAGCATTAGCACGCAGGTCGTTTTCTAAGCGGCCGAACTATAGTATTCTAGTCATTAAAGTTGCCAACTGCAATGTCAGGGAAAATCTATGCTCTTGCTTGGTATAAATAACACCCCTAAAAACCACAAAATATAGTTGCAGAGCATTATTTATACTGTACGGGAACATTTATTTTCTTTAACATTGTTGGGATACTACAATGAGACTGTTGCATAAGAGTGGGAATTGCCTGTATAGAGGTAAAAGTACACTGTGCTTTTGTCACATTTGAACTAGGATACTTGTTGGAGACCTTCCATGGACAACCCTCATATTATTTACGTTGTAGTCGTACTTACGCACTAAACTATAAATATACTCATAATTAGTTTTAAAAGCAGTCATAAGGAATACAACAAAAACTAGAGAGCAATAAGTAAACAAAAACATAATAGATTAGATGGTTTACATTTTTTACTTACTTACATATAAAAAAACAAACAAAAAACTCTTTGATGGACGTGCTAGTCTTCATCATTGATCATGAAAACTTGATCATTGGGAAACTGAACCCATACCTTGTAAAACGCCTTTCCCAAAAAATCAACACAATCTTTTACAAATCCTCACCAAATTTATAAAAAAAATTACCAAATAGCCCAGTCATTAAAGGGACAAAATAGTGCTTTGTCAGAAGTAATTATATAGTGGAAGGCTGATTTTTTCATGGCTGTTAGTAGATCATATAAGGAACATTTTCTAAAAAGTCCCCGCCACTCCCCCTCTTGCTTCCCCCCCTACACCCTTTTAAGTGTATTTGTGTAAGCTTTTATCATTTCATGAATATCTCAGAAACAAATAGCAATAGAATAAATTTTGTTTCGCCATTTGAATCCTTAAAATATTCTCTACAAAAAACGTTATTAAAGTGTAATCAATATATTCAGTAGTTTTCTTGTAATTTAAGTTTGAATGTAAATTTTTTCACTTTTAAATTTTAACCTTCGTCTGTTAAGTTGATTTGTATTGAAATGAGACGAGATAGAGAAACATGTTTTATATAAAAAGTTGGCGTATTTGAAATGATATGGGTTTTATGTATTTTAGTTGAAGCCAGTTGACAGAATCAGTCCGAAAACGGGAGGCGACGTCGGGTGCAAGAGCGCTCGCGGCGCGGATCCGCGAGTATAGTTAGTCCAGTCAACCTATGTTTTTAGGGGGGGGGGGATTAGTAAAAAGCTGATTTTTTGCCCATCTACTACTACCATTTAGACAAGAGGTCAGCCAAAAGTCCCCGCCCCTACCCCCCTTGCTTCCCCCCCTGTGCCCCCCTAAACATATAAAGTGTAAGGGTTACTAAAATCATGTTTTTCTCGATTCGACATACTGAATTGCAATTACTTTTATTGTCTTTGTTATAAAATTTCATACAATCCTGTTTAGTTAACTTTCATCGTAGCTGTTACCGTTTGTTCGTTATTTGTATAAATATGTACGGATTTATATATTTTTAAACATAACATTTTTTTGTCGCCTTACTTTAAAGAAATTATGCGAGATTCAGCCTGTGTAATGCAGTATGTGTACTCAATCAGTGGGTTTGGTCTAGTTGGGGCTGGCGCGGAATACTATCATTGTTGTAATGTGGAGAATGTTTCTTTTTACTTAAGATACAATATTGTATTATATATATATAAAAAACAAAACCCATGTACAGTTAACATGGGTTTTGTTTCGGTTGTTTTTTTAGCGAATTCCTCATATAGGGAATAAGCTATTACCGTAGGTGGTAAGACCTAGACCCGGGCCCGATTAACTTTTTTGTTTTGAGGCCCTCAGAGGCCAAAAACACCCTCCCCCGTTCAAATTCAAAAATAAAATGGAAAATTTAAGATTTTATATATATATATATATATATATATATATGTGTGTGAGTGTGATATGTATATGAGTCCGTTAGCGTGATAGCTTAAACAAAAATAATCGGAAGTTGATGAAATTTGGTACAAATGTATCAATTTACGTTTATTCGTACGAGTTTGCGAACCAGCATGATTGGACTATGGGAATAGGGGTTTATGGGAGTTTGTATGGGACAAAAGTTGGTTATTCCCATTTCCCCCCTAAAACCTCAAAGTATTACAATTTATTTCCATGGTAATAGCTTATTCCCTTTATGGGAAATTCCCTAAAAATCTAAGTTAGGAAAGGAAGGGAGATTTTGGCCCTTTGCATGAAAAGGAAAATAATTCCATATCAATCATAGACAACAAAACTATATATTTTCTTTTAACATTTATTATGCATTTTCATTATTTTTACAACAATTTACGATATATATATTAAGATACAATATTAAGAGCAAACATTGGTATACATTAACTTTTTTGTTTTACATATTGTAAACAATGAAAAGATACACTCACAATTGTTTTGGTACCAGTCCCAACCCCTTGCCTCTGTGTGGTGAGGCTAGCATGTGTGTGAGAAGAGGCAACCCTTTAAGGGACACTCCCTTAGCAAACAGGGTAAAGTACCGAACCAAATTTAATAACAATATTTTTGTAATACAATAATAATTGTGTTATGGTTGTTGGGACTTGAGGAAGGTAATTCTGAGATCTATAAAAACTTTGTACTTTCAACATTTTCACTGTACATTTATCCAGACCATATGGTTGGTCCATGTGTTATTGTACTTGAAGTGGCCATTTTATAAGTGACCAGGTTTTTTTGTTTTAACAATTAGATGGTTTTTATATTGTCTCTTTCCATATACTCGTAATTCAACATTCATAATTTCAGTTTTGTAAGTTTGTAAGTTTGAGAATCTACTCAAACCAAAAGGGTTGTACTCAATACATCACATTAAATAGGAAACCCCAAGGTCGATCAAGGAAATAGGCAGATCTAGGCAGAAATAGACAGGAAAGTTTAATCTATCTTTTGAAGATTGAAAGAAAGGAAAAAGTTGCCAATGAGAAGAGTACGTGTATTGTATTTTAAACTATGAACTTTTGATAATTGAGAGTGAGCATAAATTCCAAAAAAAGGCAATTTGAAATCAAAGACAATATGTCACATGACATTTGTTAGAAAAGAGTTAGACAAATCAATTATCAATTAATTAATTATCAATTATCAATTATTTAAGATGCGGACGCCACTATGTGCGTATTTTAACCCAAATATGAGTGAAGGATGAGTGTAGGATGAGTGGCGCGATCTTGTAGTCTTGTTAGTAACTAAGGCCGACATGTTCCTTAGACACAGCTGTTAATTAATAGCCCATACAGCTAATGGCAACTAAGGGACCTAACACTTCAACAACATTGACAGTTTAAAAATATAGAAACACAATGTTAACAATATATTCTTTTTTTCACACCTATATTTCTATGTTATGATTTTCAACAACAAATGCATGCAATCACAGAAACATCTTTGACGACACTAAACTACTTTCAGTCTTCTACACGATCAGTCTTAGACTGGGACACTTGACACAGAGACTAGATTGGATGTTGTGTGTTGGGTGTTTGGCTGTAGTCAGGACACCTGAGAGAGCTGGATGGAGTTGGTCCTCTGAGAAGTGATGCTGGACGTCATCTTGGATGATGCCTGGGACTTGCGAGGATGTTTCGGGAACTTCGGTGTCTTCCCAATGTGCAGCTTGGCTTTGACCAGCCCCAGAACCTGAGTTGAAGAGAATAATTAGCTGGGTAATGTTTACAGGGATTTTTAATGTTACTCTCACAATAATATAAATATCCCAATTTGTCATGGTGAGGCATTGTATCTCTCTGTGATAGAATCACTAGTTATTGAATAATGTTTAAAGGTAAAGAAAGTATATCACAAAATTTCTACTTTTGTGTTGTATATTTTATGTGTCTCTGACTTATTTAAAGGTAAGCCTGTTTTCCTGTCAATTTCCTTAATAATTCCTGGCAAATGCCCCATCTTTTTATCAGATAAAGGTAAAGAATCATTTTTAGCTGTTTAGTAAGTATGGAAATGAATAGTTCTAGTTCACCTTAGAACATTAAAATTCAGTGACTTGTATCACAAAAAATGCATGTTGACACATTGATATTTTGACATAAGTTAATGTACTTTTCCTAGTCAGAAGAATGAACATAACCAATCATGCTAGAAAGATTTGTCTGTACTCTTGACTATTGATTTTCTCAGATACATTAGCTGAACTCCAAAAAATCCTTGCTTTTAGAATGAGTTATAGCAGAATTAAAAGAGGAGTGTCTGAATATGATTTGTAAATATGTCGCTGCCGTCGATGAAATCTGCCATGCTACTTGGTCATTTCATAATGGTACAGTAACAAAGGCTGACTTAACAGCTGAAACTATAGATCTTTAATGCATCATCAACTAATTACAGCAACAACTAAGGGTAGATAATAGAATTTACTTTTTAACTACACACATTTTGTTATTTAATTAAAAACATGCAACAGCTGACCCATATAAATGGGATGTCTGCTTTCATGTAATTGTAAAAACACAAGGTTACTCTACCTTTTCCTTGCAGCAGAACAAAATGAAGATGAAAACCCCGCGGAGAGCGTTGATGGCGTCTGTGACATACCAGTAGCTCTCAGAGCCCCCGGCCACCCATGATATTAGCTCAAACACCCAGGTCACACCCATCAACCCGAACAGTTTCAGGTACAGGCTGAACCTATGACAAATATCAACTGATAAGATACAATGTCAATTTCAAAAATTAATTTAGAAAAATAGGTAAAATTTATAATATTTTGAGGTTAAATTTAATGTTCAGCCGGCTATTTAAAAAAAATCAAGTGGAGCATAACGTTACCTTGTGATTTTGATGGTCAAGGGTAAAAAAAGACTCATATACTTTTCCAGTTGTATGATAAGGGTTTAGTAATAAATATTTAAAGAACTTTGTAGCTTTGTGACTTGATTGAAAAAAAAAACAATATAATAGTTAAAGTTAAATTTCAATTTGTTTAGTTTTTTTTTTGATTTAAACTCGCCTACATAATTATCCACCTTACTACCCTTTTATTAATTTTGTCAAACCTTTGGCATCTTTATTGGTACTTGGGCTATATGATTTATTAATATTCACTCTTTAGAGGCTTCAGCAATTTATGAGTTTTCTTAAAAAGAAGGAAAGATTAAAGATTCCATAACCAAAAGCAAGCAGTTAATTATAAAACAATGGGACATGCGCTTTTAGCAAGAGAAAATTTTGACCACTCTTGGTGTTTTTACAGTTGGCTAAAACAATTATTTTTTAGGTAAAATTATAAGCACACGCTTAATTTGTAATAAACTCAAACTAAAGCTTCAATGACAGTTAGTATACATGGACATTTATGCACATTACAATGAAACCACAAACAAAGAACTAAATACAGTAGTAAGAGGATAGAACATGTTCTTCATCCTTGAGTGCAATGATTTGTACGTGCTTTTATATATGACTGGTTTTACCTTATAGTTTTATTTGCTGTTGTCCCATTGTAGATAGATTCAACATCCAAAAGCCTGCCAAAATAATTTTGACATTGATTGAAAATATTTAAGCTTTTGACTTTTGTCAATAACATTGTTTTGGTATTTTGTTTAGCTATGTTTTATTGGCTTTACATGATAGTGAATAATTATATATACAAAACATTTAACATATAATATAGACCGTGTTTTAATTACATGGATTTAAACTTACACTATATGATTTTAGAAGTACCTAACAGTGGCGGATCTAGAACAGTCACAAGGGGGGGTTGAACCGGGGGGTCTGGGGGGTTTGGGGGTACCCCTTGAAAAATTAATGTTAACTAAGTCTCCAAAATGGCAGTTTTTTACCATTTCTTTGTCCAAAGTTAGTGTGACAAATTATTTTACACAATGTGTATGCACTACTATATTACATGCAGTAAAAAAATATATATATGTATGCCTGATGGGGGGGGGGGCGGTCGCCCCCCCTCTGGATCCGCCACTGGTACCTAATTATGCTAATTATTGCAGCCAAACTTAAATAATCAGCAGTCTTTTTCCGGTAGCTTTTATGATTTAATGAGACTTAAGGACCAAGGACCTACTGCACTCTCAAATACATATAAAAGTTGGTAAGTGGTGATCGATTTCGATTGGACGCTCTAATCATCATCAGATCCAATAGACGAATGTTTTTGTTTTTTCAGGTAACACGTATGATGCTGATCGAGAAGTTATTTAATCTCATAAACAATTCCATCTTCAAGATTTGATACATAAATATATTATTATTACTCAACTAAATACTTAAAGTATACAATTAACTAACCTGTTAGTATCTTGACGCAGCTTAGAGCCGGCATGCTGCACTATGTTGGCAGTGTCTCGGTGCGTCTGGCGTATCTTGCCAGCCGTGTAGATAAAGAGTGCCAGGTTAGCCATCAGCAGCAGACCCATCGGACCATACACAAGCAACAGGACCGACTCCCAGTCTGAAAAACATTCAATAAAGTTAGAGCCAACTCAACAAAACCATGACAGAATTCGCAATCAATAAAGGTTTGAGTTAGAGCGAGATGCCTTCAGCTAAAATTCAAGGAAAATAAAATTAAAAACTGTTATGTAGAACAGTTACAACAATGTTAACATACAATCATATATTAGTACATGTACTAATAATTATGCCTGAAAATTATTAGATCATAATGTCAAATTTGGTTACTGTACTGCATGAAATGACCCCTCCCACTGCTGAAGTTCAAAGTGCTAACAGCTAGATAAGCCTCTAAAACAAGTTGTAAAAATAATGATTTATACAAAACTTACGTTCAAACCAGCAGCGAGTGGTTCCAAAAGATGGTTTGAACTTTGACATGGAGGGAACTGCAGGGCTGAACTCCAGAAATGCGGTGATTCCTGAGAATGCGGCAGAACCTCCCCAAGCAAACAGAGAGTAGTAGATGAACTTGTGTCCATCACTGTCCAGAGACTGGGAACCTTTTGGGGCTCTCAGGCCACTGTGGACACAACATATAGTGTTAAAGTTTATGGGTGATCTGGCTTAGTGTTTTGAGGAGGTACCAGACCAGTGAGGTACATTGATTTATTAACAATACCTACTTTTATAATGTTTCCCTCACATTTTATAAACACAGAGCTTTAAACAGTACTGCAATTCTAAACTTCATTTTTGGATTGAAGAACACGACACTACATATTCCATTCCCATGTTAAGTTTGTAGACAGAGTTTTTAATTAAAACCGTCATAGTTGATGTGAGCCACCAACAGATTGTGCTGATCTAAATTCTGTCAAATACACAAACTTTTTACCAAGTTAAACCACGTTAAACCTAGGGAATGACTTATGGTGAGCTATAGCAACTGTTAAGACCGATCAACCTGATCAGCAACAAAAAATAAGGTAGAAAATAGAATTTTAGACACTAGCGCATTCTGTGACTGGCTAACACAACTACGTTCTGTTTTAATAAAAAATTAGCTACAGCTGATATAGATAGGATGTCAACTCCAGTATCAAATAGTCAATGAGGACAGGTACAATTTTCAACCCTTTTTGTTGATTTATGACCTCATAGTTATTGAAGTAAGAAATAAATCATTTATTTATCATTTAAATAGCCTTTACTAAAACATTTCATAACAACAAATAATTGTTTATCAAGTGATTTGTTTAACAAATCATGTTCAACTTCAGTAGGGTTAATGATCTCCTGGATTTTCTTGGTGAAACTACTTGAGTGACGTAAGGAGTCTGACGATGCTTTAGATGAGGAGTAGTTTAAGGAGTTTGAAGATGCATTGGTTGTGGAGTTATGTCAGGTCTTCTCTGCATTTTTAAGAGAATGCTGTCATATATTTTTATTAGGATCGTTAAACTTTAGGAGCTGTATTGTGATTCCTCATTGAACACTGCCACTATGTTTAAAGAGATAAGATAGTGGCTGAGGTAATTTCTCCATGACTTTTGCTCTTTCCCTTTGCTTGTTAATACATTTAGCACTAATATATTTTTATCAACATTTAAGTTTTCATTTGTTATGCGAAACATGATGATAAATTTTTTGTAGTAGTTGTTTTTCATGCATTTTTTAAAACAAATTTTGAGAAAGGTTCTGGGTTTGAGGGTTTGATTATCAATAAGAGCTCAAATAATGTGACTGTTAAGAAGTTGAGAAACAGAGTAATTAACCCAAGCCTGCTACCGGAGGCATTTCGATAGCTTAACAAATACAACTCCATATCCTAAATCATATGTTATAGTCAATTATTGAATTTATGGTAATATTCTTGTAACACGTATGAATAGCTGTAAAAGTACAAGCCGTATTAAGTTACTCTGGATCTGGATGGCCTTTACATATTTCTTTGGGGCTTTAAGGGTTAATTTGTAAAAATCTGTAACCCGTATTTGTTTATAACATGTTTATTTTTTTTAAGCAATAGGTGTATGGATATTTTCCTAAATATTATATGATCTCTATGTACAACAAATAAATTAAATGGTATAGTTTTGCTTATAACAGGCATAACTTTTCAATCTAGGTTACTAGCATATACATGAATCCATGTCATATTCTTGTAATGTAAAGAGTTAAATCACTAGGAATTCACTCTTCTCATCTAGCATGGGTTTCCCAGCATTTATAGTTTTCAAGGACAACCAAAATTAACTGCTATCCTCCTACTAGCCATGTGCTCTTGCATTGATAATGATAGTAATGATAATGATATAATCAGCAATGTATAGATCCCCATGACACTTCTACTGGATCCCCCTTTGCATATATTTCCATAAACATTTTTTTCACAACTATTTCCTGTGAATAAGCCTCAATTATTTATTTTGCAACTTCTGAAATGTTTTCATTATACATAACCATTTCCACATACGGTTATGTAACAAAAAAACAATATTTTTTATTGATTTTAAGAATATCTTTGAACTTCTTGGAAAGTAAACTATATACTCTGTTCACAAAATTTAGGTGTTTTGAGGGGAGTTCCCCCACAACTTTTTTACTTTAACTTTTGAGCTATTATTTTTTAAGGTAGGTTCAAGTGGAGGGGTTGTTTTTCACAGCCCAAATTTTGTGAACGGAGTAGGGGCCAATACACTCAGCACTTGCGGGGGTCAGAAAATCAACCTCAGTTACAAGTATTTTCCCTTTGTACCTTTCATATAAAAAATATTTTAAAAATACAAAATGTTCTTTTTTAGGCAAGTAATGAAGAACTAGTTGGTACATTTATAAGAAACGTGCTAATTATCTGTGAAGCTTACCTGAAAGTCCATGCAATGTCCACACACATAACATTGAGCCAGAACATAGCAGCCAGGATCGCAAACTGTATAGTAAAGGCTGCAACACATAATCAGATTTAAAAACTTAACTAAACCCACAGTTTAAGCAGGAATCTTTGAACAGCTGTCATTTTTGATTGCACTGTCCATGGGTTTGTGGCGTTGTGTTTTACTAACAAAGACTTTTATTTCGATACCAAACTCGAACTATGCCAATATTTGAGAATTTTTTCTCACTCCTCTTGGACCATCCCCATTAAGAGGTAAAAAATTAATAATACCTTGAAAGAGTAGACATTTATGGTTATTATTAATATACCAAGTTTTGTAATTTTAGCTATAATGGAAATAGTATATTTCGTACTTAGGGTCGAAAATGAGGTTTTGCCGGCTCGAGATGGTTTTTAAGTTCGAGACGAAGTCGAGAACTTAAATCGATCGAGAGCTGCAAAACCATTTCGGTCCGTGGTACGAACGCTATTTTTCACCACACTATACCCTATTGTCCCTATTACCACTATTCATCACTATAATTATGCACACTGATAGTCAACACAACTGCAACTTTAAGGTTATGTGAAGAAATAATTTGAGGAATCAGCAAAAATAAAAATAAATAGTTGCTAGGCAACGGTGACAATAACACAATTCTATGGCAATGCTATGGATACTGATTGTGTATTTAAAATGCATTCATGTTTTAAGAGCTGATTTTGCGGCCCCGGCCTGTAAAACCTGCTCGGTCCCCAAATTACGATGACAGCTGGCATGGCCAGCAAAACGCAACTTTCAGCCACCAATTAACGTATGCAATACAGCCAAAAACATCATAGTGAGGTGAAAAAGCAACAATGTATATGAATGGATATAGTAGGTATAATTTTTATCAATTCTAGAGAAATGTTAGGTTGTTGTAAGGAATAGCATTGATTAATTTCCACTAACGATAAACACGCACAAATGAGCATACATGAATAATTCAAGTATACTAATGTAATATTTTTAAATAGCATCCCTTCGCTAAACATACTTTTTTCACATATCTGTTTTGTACCCTATCTGAAAAACCAGCTATTTCCCCACGTATTTCCCTTCATTGCTATTCATCGGACTGCTATAAACTATAAACCATTACGACTCCGCCCCAGCCATTTGCTGCTCACGATATGTGGTTGTTTATAAATAGTACGGGAGGGCCGTGTCGCAGGACAGCCGATAGCTGGACTTGCCAGAGGTCGGCAAAAACAAGGAATCCTTCACGTAACCACCGACCTTGAAGCGGGAGGAGAGAAGGCTGGGAAGTTATTATGATTACTGGGCGAACATCCTAATTGGAGTTTTTCTCGCCGACACGTATGTGGAATCTTTGTTGTGTTCGGATTTCAATAACTCAATAACTCGTTTATTGAACCAAGTAGACACAATTACATGTATAGGTTAGGTCAAAATAATATAATATGCTTTGGAATTGAACTTAAAATAGTAAAATTAACTTAAACATACTATTTACAAATCATTCTGTCTAAAGGAAAATTAAGATTCTAGCCGTCAGTCAGGAAGTCACAGACGCTGTAGAAGCATTTATTTAATAGAACAGATTTTAACTTTCTTTTGAATTTCAGATGGTCTGACTCTGCCTTTAGATGCGTTGGAAGGTGGTTGAAGATATTTACTGCATTGTAACGGAGATTTTTTTAAAAAAAGGTTGTACAGTGGACAGGGACTGGAAGATTATAAGAAGTTCTTAAATTGTAAGCATGGTTATGGGAATTGTTGAACTTGTCGATGTTTTGTTTTAGGAATGACAAGGTTTTGTAGATGTAAAGTGATGGAAACGTTAAGATGTTTGCAGTTTGAAAAAATGGTCTGCAGGTTTGTCGTCTTTTTAAAGAAAATATAGCTCTAATTGCCCGCTTCTGCAAACGGAATAGAAATAAGGTCCACTGATTCTCATACCCCCATATGGGCAAGGCATAGGTAAGATGTGGGAAAATAAGGCCATAATAGGCGGAAAGTAGGACATCAGATTTCGTCGAATTTGCAAGGGTGCGGATGGCAAATATTCCTGAACTAACTTTTTTTATTACGTGGTCAATATGATGGTAAAATTTTAACTTGTCGTCTAAAAACTCTTTGGCATCCCATCAGTGTGACCATGGCCAGCCATATGATTGTGGTCAACTTATTGCCATCGAATATCCAAATGAAATAACTGAGACGTGAGAATAAGTCCACCTTAAACATTCTTGTAGCCAATACTGATTCAACGGAATATTTAACGTATTTTTTCGTATTCGTACTTTTGAGTAGTTAAGGTATTATTTCGTGTCAATCGAATCCGACATTAAATTGGAGAGAAGTAATTATTAAATTTGATGTTGGGTTTGATAATGAGCAATTTGATCGGTAACTAAGTAATATATTGATTACTCCAGAAATTGAAGAGTAACACTGACTTTAAACTTTCCAAATGTTTCAGTCATTGGTCAAAAGCCAGGAGCATATTTTTTCCAAGTGTATTTCCCATCCGTTATTCATATTAATTTGATCATCAATTTATCTTGAAATCTTTGTATACAATATTTTCCCGATACAAAATAACGTTTTTAGTTTGTCAGCGTTTTTATTGTAGTGTATCGAGCATAATAATTTAAAACTGAGTTGCAAAATGTACAACTTTGAAGCCAAATCGGTCACTACATTTACAAGGATACGGTGAAATGTTAAACTTAAATGGAAAAATCGTCGCTATTTTGGACCAAATAAACACTTATCGTAATCAATGTAGCCATGGTAGGTTTCGGTTATCCCAGGCAGATTTACATAAGTAAACTCTGTTGAAAGTTTGTACGGGAGATGTCAAGGCTAATGGAATAGACAAATGTAAACTATTATACGTAATTGCTTGATAAAATGAACACGTGAGTTAAGACTACGACCATAGGTTACTGCCACTGTAAATACTTTACTTTATCGCCAGAAATTCACTATAACAAATTATCAGTCTCAGAGTTTCATTATTCAATTATTGTTCTTACCTTGACTTTTTCAACAGTGCAAGAGTGTAAAGAATAACTAAATTAATATTGTGTAAACGCAAATGAAAATCACAGCAAAGGAGCTGATTTGTCAGAAAAGAGGATTGATAGCCAAATAACGATAATAACGTAGAATAAGCAATAAAATCCATGAGTACATAACACCTTATGACAATTTACCTGACTTATTTGGGTTCTTATAATATTTAACATTTCAATTCATTATAATATCATTGCATAAAATTGCATAGTTCCAAGATACTCAAGGGCAAAGTTGAAATATTTTATCGGTCATAGCTAAATACTAAACTTGAACTGATTACAAAAACTAAAACCGGTCTTTCAGTAGAGAACTGGTTCGGCTTCGAAAGTAAGACACGGAAAACACAATCCCTTGGCGCCGATTGTGAGGCTATGCCGTGACGAGAATACTAATGTTTTTAACTATTTATAAATGCTTCTCCGTTTTTACTGCGAATAAAGGGATTAAGTTCTATTTACAGCATTAAACCCGATACAAATTTACATAAACGATTTCCAGGCATTAATTTTATTAGAATTCCTTGACGCAAGCTAAGGTTTACCATAGGAAAACAAGAGCCGTGTTTAAATACGTTAGTGGGAAAACCACTTCATTATTTTAATCATGTTTTAACGCGAGATTTTTTCTGTGCGCAAAACCTCGACAAAAGTAAGCTTACAATTGACTTTTTTTAGCTCCAACATTGATTGGTTCCTTTATATAAGTATGAATTAAGCCTACTTAAACTATACTAGTCCATAACAACTGAAGAATTTACACCAAATACCTTCGTTGTTGACCAAAGTACTGATTGTGCTTGCAATTTTTTTTAATGCAATTATTAAGACCTTTTTTCCGAACCGAGTGCTTGACCAAGTTAATGTTCCAGAATTGTCTTTATAAAGCGTAAACAACTAATTTACAAAGCTCTCCAAATTGAAGGATCTGTTTCTTGTTATCACGCTACATTTGGCAGTGGTCGTGACGTTGGAAAACAGCTGTTCTTTGTACAGCTGATCAATAGAACACTTGACCGATCAGCTGACATATCATAAACACATTTATTACAGACATCTTGGAACAGTTGAACAATAACTACATCTGGACTGTTCAGTAAAACCCCTGAGAAGAAGATTTATACTAATGTAAAGCAAGTTTCAAGTGGTTTAAAACTATATCCATGCTACCACACTTAACTTTGGCATTCGAAGATGGATTCAATTGGAACAAATAAAATGATGTGGTTTTAGTTTTAAAACGTAGAAGAGTGTACCAGTTAATATATTTCGTTCTGTCATAAAAACTCTCCAAACTATATTTGTCAACAGTAAAACATCAAAGTAAAGAAAAGTTAGGTAAAAAGTTTTACCTACGTGAAACGTACATTACGTTCGTTTACTTTTAATGAAATAGTTCTATGTTTATGTATAAAAAAACTTGTCTAAACTGGTTTTGTATTGATTGGTTAAGTTTTAGTGTTCACCAACCCTTTAGCTTTTAATGGAATGGAAAAATTCAGAGATAACATCAACACATTAAGTGCTGTTCAGTGTACAAGAAGTTATTAGTCAGAAAAATAGCCTACTTTTCCTTAATACAGAAACAATAATATAGACCGTTAGCAAAACATAGTTACCGTCTATTTTACTCTGTTTTGGCTATAGATTAAAAACTATTCTGGAGCTAATGGAACTTCTTTCCTTGGTCATTATAACATCGTTAGTGCTAAGTATTTGGAATTTACCCGTTTGTAAAATATAAAAATATAATAAGTACTCTTTTACGTGTTCTGTTGAAGGCTAAACTTCGTTCCGTGAAACTCGTTGAAGTTAGAATGTTGGCGATTACATTTATAATATTATTCAAATATGAGATGTGTAAGTCTATCTTTCCATCATGCAAAACCAGTAAACCAAATTTTCTGAAATTTTTCTCGACGATATAAGCCCAGAAGGGAATTTAATAATTCAACTGAAAGAAAAAAAATAATTTGTCAAGCATACAGTTTTTTTGAGAATTGGTTCTTATTGCTAAATTAAACGTAAAACTTCATTATAATCTTAATAAGCTTGAAATGCTATCCCGGATGGGCATGTTATATTGAATACTACAACTAACATCATAAAAGGTTCAAATAAAAGAAAAGTAAATAAAAAACATTTCCATGTTAAACAGAACCAAGAAAGTCGAGTGTGTATGAAAAGAGTTTATCAACAAAGGTAAAAACAAAACTGAAAGTGTTTAATAGATAACTCACAGAAGTCAAAACAAGAGCCCCATAAAGCTTTTCGCAGATAATGTAAATTTCAAACATAGGTACGATAATTTGCTTTGAAGGTGGGAAACGAAGAAGCGTTTGAAAGTGTGGTTTGTTTGTGGAACTGTAAAACCCTAGAAGACTTTAGCGGGTATCGATTCCTGTGTTGTGTTCTTTTACAGAATAGAGGGACAAGAAAGGTTGTCTTTGTACTTGAGTTAGACTGAGACTGATGCATCTAAAACCTATTATACAGGGTGATTCAAAAAGGACTTTACAACTTTGAAAATTCATATAAATCTTATTAAACAAGGTACAGAGCCGGTTTTGGTGTTGTTTTAAAGGAAAACACGTCAAGTTTTTTTTTTACCTTAAACTAAAGATGTTCTATGTGACTTCCGTTGGATTTGGGGAAAATAATTATTTGGGTATGATAAAATAGTGAAACCCGTTAAAAATTTGAGAGGAATTTCCAAAATTTTGAAAGTAGGGCGTTTTTTGACGGTGAAGGAGTGTGATTTTCGAAAAACGCATAATTAGTGTCTTGTAGAAAATTTAATTCCAAACCTACGTTTTTTCCTCAAATCTTTTCTAGCTCTTACCGTTTTCGATCTATAGTCGTTTGAAAAAAACGTGTTTTGTCGTTTTCAGAGGTCCGCCATTTTGGATTATTGGGGGGGTTAAAATTTGAAAATGCGACTTTTCGGAATTTTATGGGTGGTTTGGGACCAAGAACTACAAGTGTGCGAAATTTCAACTCCCTAGCACATTTAGAAGTGGGTGTATCGCACTCCTTCACCGTAAAATATGTATTATTGTATAATCTTTATTTAACTACTTCTATGAAATCTTACTTCTGGACAACCCATACCATAAACGACCACATGAGTTAGACTAAAATACATCCACAGCCTGTGTCTCCAAGACAACATTATTTTCACAATATGTTTTCTGATAACACAGCTAGTCGTTAAGTGGCATTATGAGGATAATCACCAGGGCGTAATTGTTATGGTCATACTCCAGATAATTGGTTGGATCTCGTAAAATTGTTGGTGTCGGTTGACAATTAATCGAGACATTAAAAACTTTTTTACTTATACACGTTCACTTGAAAATTGTAAATCTAATTGAGATACAAACGTGGACAATCTCTTAAAATTGACGAATTTTATAAAGGAAAATACTTAATATCATTAACAGATTTTTTCTTGAATCGATCATGTATCCGTTTCTGTTTTAGCCTAATTCATAAAGGATTTATTTTTTAAGTAAAACGTAGTAATAAAATAATATGTACAAAAAATAATACGAATACCAATCTTCAGCAATGGACCCACATACACCTTTTTAGTACGAAAATACGGCATTTTTAGGAATACGGCATATCCTAAATATAATAATAATTTATTAACATTTCTTTATCACACGATTTGTCTTTTTAGATTGATTTGAATGACAAAACACATTTTCTTACAATTTTGTAAAAAATAACGCTGAAAACTATTTATTCTTTACAACTCCATTTGTGTGGTAGTTTTAAACTGGCTCGCAACCCGAAACGAATAGACGAATAAGTTGGGAAGACGTGGATTAGTCTGATCCAAATTCCCATTAAAAGGCCCTCAAATTTAATAAATTATTTCGTTTTCATGTCCAACATGGGGACTAAATCCTCGAATAGTAATTTATAGAATTTTCAAAGAATGATACCTAGTTTAAATTATGAAGGGAATGAAATAACTCTATAAAAACACCTGCACTAATTAACTTTAAGAATATCTGCAATCTAACCAGTGACGGAGCATGCGCAGGAGGGCGCCGGTAGCGGGGCCAGGTTGACAACAGCCAATCCCACATAGCCTGCCAGCAGACAAGCGACGTGGGCCACCAACACCCGGGAGTGCAGACTCTTGCGGAGCTCCGGCAGCCAGAGGTGCAGGACCAGAGTGATACCGAGGAACACGGCCCCCAGGACGAACAGGCCTCCGTACACCGCGGGCTTTAGGGTAGGCGGGAGACGACAAGCCAGCAGGGCGGAGCCCCGCGAGGTGCGGTCCACACAGTAGTGGGCCCTGGGCACCCTCGCCTCCCCAAGCAACAGGTGATCGTCCTGGACGTTCCAGGAGGAGGTGTACTCCAGGTACAACTGGTTGGAACACTCGGGGAACCCGTGGATCAGGAATGGTCGACCTGGAACACACAAGTGTTGGAATTTGATTAAAAAATAACCTAAACAAATTGTTTTGCGTAATTGCATTTATTTATGCGTACCAGAATGTTACCGCAGGGTTGTTGGATTGCACAAATGCAGGCAAATACATAAATTTCCAGTGTTGAAATGGAATTTGAGGGCTAACATAGAAATATAAATATTGCACTTGAATTGGAGGACTAATTAACACGTGGAACCGGCTATTGCGAGATAGCTGTGATATTTTGGGCGCCTATGAAACTATGAAAGGGTTACGCTCATTGAAGAGTATTAGTAGGGTCTTCTGAGCGAAACCAGAAATGATGAAATTACGATTAACGCCTGTCCAGGCAGCCGTTATAAAATATACCTTGACTATTTCATCGTTCCTCGCAGAACCAGTTTGATGAGTGGAGAACTTCGAGTTTTCATAGTGAAACTGTATGATTCCTATTTTACATAAAATAAATTAATTGAAAACTCTCCTTCTTCTCAAGTTTCTTAGTTAAGACAGCATAAATGAACAATTTATTGTGTCTAAGGCCCAAAGCAGCGTGGCGGTTTTAAACCATGCCAGCCACGGATATTAGAACATAAACGGTATGGTTAAAACAAACAAATGACTTCACTGGCCCGAATCTCATACTAATAACTCTGACTTATGGTTTAGAAGTTTTTTGACTGTTTCCAGTATTTTAGGCCAATGTGTATGGGCCAATGTAAGGAGCCGCCAGTCTACTTGAAGATCCTTCGACCCGATTCAAGAAAATACGCAATATTCTCGGCTTAGTATTTCCTTATTACTACTTTTCCTCGTTGTGGCTGTGAAAATAAGTTTGTGTAAAACCCTTTCCGTCAGGCATGACAATAAAACCCAAGAATGCAGAAGGATATGGGTTCAAAATTTAAATAGTCCATACAAATATATTTGTTAACTTCCTTGAGAATTTTCTTGATCTGATTGTGTTCAACAGTTGAATGAATTTCTACTCTAATTATGTGTGTTAGTCTAATCACTGTAACACTACAGCTAAGTCACAAACCATAATGGTTGATGTCAATGACCTTTGCCAATTGTTGAAGATTATAAGCCGCAGATCGCCTGCCGAGCGTTAACAACCAACTTCAACATCAAGTCCCCAGGGGGTGGTCCTATTCGTCATGATTAGGAACTCATAGTTAATATACAACAAATATCTCACGAATTTAAAAAGATTTAGCTAACGGTTTTCATGCTGTAATATAACCAGCACATTTCCTATTCTTTGGTCCATAGTGGTTTCATAGTTTACATTTCGTTCCAATTCTCATAAATATTGACTTATTTTAATTTCCTTTCATTACAATTTTTAATTTTTAATCTTCCGGTTTCAGTCTATTGCAGAATAGAGTAGATGTGTAAGTGTACGGACACATTCACGCGGCTAGTTGTCGCGTGATCAGCGGTCTGGTTCTGTCGTGCTAAAATTCTTGGGTTGGGGGCGTATTTTAAGCTGAAAATGAATGCAATATGAGTTTGGAATGAACTTGGTTGAAATGTTTTATTAGTCAAGGCTGTTTACACTCCCTGTTATTAAATGATCCATGTTTACATATTTTAGTTCTCATAATAGTTTCTAACAATAGAAACTGGAAATACTAAACTAGATGTTTTATAAGTTGCGTTGAAAAATACAAATTAGTCATAGGCTTCGTGTTATTTTTATTTGAATAAAAAGACAAAAAATCGTTCTGAAGCTGGATGTATTGTTACATAGTTGCTTATGCTAGTTGAAAACATTAAAATATAATAACAATACATATTACCTGGTAGACGCATAGATGGGAAACTAGAAGTGTTATGTTCGGGGAGCTAGAGAAATGTTGAGATTGTTAGTTTTGACTCGTATTACAGGATGTATAGTCTGTTTTGGCGTAAAAATATTTCCTGTTATTTTAACTTAACCTTTTTTACTGCAAAATTTGGCACAGTATAAATAAAAACAGTAAAATTAGAATTTAACAATAATTTAGAAACTTGGAAATTAAAACAACTAAACTCTTTAAAATTTCTAATCATGAAAAATCTTGTAAATATAAATTATTAAATATATTTATGTTTTATTTTTTTGGTAAATTTGTAATTGCTTCGTTCTATAATTCCCTTGCCGACCGCCATTTCTTTTTTGATCGCCTCAGGCATATGTTTGTTGCTCTTAAAACTGCACAAAAGAAACATATACATGAAACACGCAATGAGAAATTTCCTATTCAACGCTATACTCTGTATGATAAAACCCGCCGCCTGACCCTCCGCCTACATGGTTTTAGACCCGGGTCAGTGCCAGGTCGACGGAAGGCAGATTCCATCTAAAGACTATTGGAAAAGTCCTTTTGTTGAATCCAAAGTCAATGGCGAAATTTTACGATCTCTCTCACGTTATTTGACGTCAGTGGCACCATAATGATCATCGACTAATCAAAAGCCCGCATTTGTCATTAACATAATTGCGTCAAATATTCTTTACAACGATAGTATTACGTAGTCACTAACAAGGTTTACCACAGAACAACGTGTGCTAGTCATTAGTTATAACCGTCTAGATGGTTTATCATTTCAAACCGAGGGAATCCTTTGATGATGCTTGTTTGTCAAGATTGGCGACACCCACTGTTTGTTTTCTGTTTTATGAATATCCCAGCTTATTCTTCACTACTACATAGGGAGGTGGTAAGCTGCTCCCCCGTGCCTGGGACGCCAGCGAGTGCGTCGTGCAAAATGCTTGTCTTGACTGTACTCTTCCATTCCTGACCTAATCTCTTAATCCCTTCCTTGCGGGTGTGAGTAAACTGTTCTCCCTTGGCTGTTGCATACATTTGATTTATGTTCACTAAACTATTGAGTTACAGAATAGTTAGAGTTCAATTGTGTAATAGAATGTAAGTATGTAAGTAATAAGTTGAGGTAACAAATAAATTACAGCAACCCATTCTAGTTTCCAAACACTATGCTACAATGATTGTCGTACCACTACGCAAATAGTGCGTTATCAAATTTGGTTTTTGAGCCATGCCACACCGAAAGTACCGTGCCCGCGGCGGGAGTTTTGGGGTGATTTTCATCACAATTTGTTTTACATAATAATTACATCTTACCTAGGTCATGTAAGTTTCTGTAGCAAACTGTTTTTAGAAGTAATTTTATTTTTTGAATAGGGTTGAGAATAAACTATCCACTTTCATTTTTGTTTTCAACGTTTTCGGTACACTACAAAGACTAATTACTTTTTAAATAAAAACATTCATTAGAATACTGAATTTCTTTAATCCAGTTACGAAAGCTTCAAAACTAATGACATTTTTTAGTTAGGCCTTATATAACAAGTCCAAATTTACATTGATTGTACTTGTACAGTTTTGGTTGTTGCAAGTTGCAAACTGAAACTGTTTATCAAAAAATTACAAATAATGTTTGTTTGTTTACGTCGACAACATAACAAATATTATAGGAAACATTAAATTTGCACTGTAAACATTCTCTTCGCATGGAAAACAATCATGCATTTTTCTGGTGATAACATAATGCGAAAACAATTGATTTTGTGTGGTATGGCTTGAGTTAAAACGTCTGTCTGCGGTACTCCCGCGGCGGTTTGGCGGACGTCGATGTGGTACCTATGGCGTTTAAAGTATGAATCACCTAATCTCAACCAAAGTATGAATCACTACCGTAACGTTTATGTGATATAAGGCGCAAGTCATATTTTCTAAGGTCGTATTTATAACTAAGAATTGTTTCTCCATTATTCTAATGATTACGTCAAGCATTGTCGCCAAGACTTATTTTTTTAACAAACTCATAATAACCTAAAACTTATTCTGGCTATATTCCAAATTGTAAATACGACTGCTATTACAATTTCAATTCAAGAACGCCAGCGTTAATGGAAAGAACCTGCTATTGATTACTGAAAATCGTCGTCAGACGCCGGTATGTAGTTGGATTCTTCTGGTATGCCAACAACCCTTACGCTACATCCTCTTTTGCAAATATTTTGCAGTTTGTTGTCAACTTTGCTAGTGTCAACATGGATAACTTAGTAAGTGAGTTTGTGGTTACAGAACGGGGAGGTAGTGCGCTGTTAGTTAACAGTTTTAAATTTATCAAGAATACAGTGAGAATGTGCGGCACAGTAAAGTGGGTTTGCGAAAGGCGGCGGAGACATGGATGCAGGGCAACATGTGTAACCCAAGGTGGGTAAAGCTATTATTTTTTTGTTTAAGTCCGTGATATTGATTCCAGACATGTTTTTGGTTTTGACATGTTTAAGTTGTTTTGGGGTTGATTTAAGAGTAATTTTAAATAATATCTGAAAAAAATAGCTTTATACCCCAAAAAATCGATTTTGAACTTTTGACGTGTAATTATTTTTAAATTTAAATTTTAGTTTACACCATTAAAATAACAAAGATTTCGCGGAAATACTTCGTTCAAATCGCTAGTAAGCGATTCGCAAAAAAATGACGGACTTCGTTCATGTGACAAACCTTAATCATTTTCAAGGGTTTATTTTGATATTTTACCTACGACAGTTTTTTTTTTAATGCCATTACAGTTCAGTTCTTAAAATTGAAAAGTTTCACATAACAGCATTGTTTACTTACATAACATCATAGTTTTAGTTAACTACACGGGGACATTACTTGACCAATGAGGGTCAAGGATTAAGAGGAAAAGTAAAATAATTTAAAAAAAAGTAAAACAATTATTGTAATGCTTCGAACTTCAACTAACCATCTCTCTTTACCAATTTAAATGTTAACGATAGGTGCATTTAATGATTGGTACAACGAGTCGTTGCATCTCTGTCAGTGGCAATGAGAGATTATAAACGAAAACATAACCTCTTCTGGAAAACGGGTTTAGTGATTATTAGTAATTAAAAACCGGTCGTAGGTAAAGTATTCCAAGAAACTTATGTAAATATTGATACAGTAACTAGTATATGTTTTTAACAAT